ATGCACTGTTCCACCTCCTACTTTGGTGAGTAGCAACTGGGATCTTAAAAGCTTGCAAGCAGCCATCTAGATACAACAATGGGTCTCTTCTTGTCCAGAGCAAAGAAGAAGGAAGAAAAACAAACAAGAATAAAGAAAACCAAAGATTCATGGAAAGAATTAGTCCTGGCAACTGGTACACCATGAGATCTGCAGCCTACATGACTGAGACCAGAAGAACTAAATGGTGCCCAGCTACCACTGTCAACCACTCAGAGGGGGATCTATGTAGGAGATCCTGGATAGAGAGGGAGAACAATGTGGAACAAAACTCAAAATCGTTTGGAAAAAAAAAAGGGGGGAGGACCAGGTTTGCTGGTCTGAAAGAGCCTGGTGGAACCACTGAGACTATGGCCCCTAGCTGCCCTTCAGGTCTGGATTGAACCCACAGCTGTGGCTTCCAGCCAAACAAAAGACAGGCATATGAGTTGAACATTTACCTGAGGTAGATATACTCCTTGGAGAGAACAATCTTGGGAGAAAGAAGGGCTGTTATGCACAGGGAGACAGCTCAGGGGGCAGGAGTGCATGGAGGGATGGACACAGGGAAGAGGTAACTATGGGGAGGAAGTGGGAGGGGAGCTGTTGCATTGTGGTAAACTGTGGTCAATGACATGAGACAAAGTGTATGTGAACTGCTGTATGGAAAGTAAATTTGCTCTGTAAATTTTTACCCAAATCACAATTAAAAAAAAAAAAAAGTCAGTAAGGAAAACTGTATTATGAGGTACCCAAGAAAGAACAGATTCAAATAAAAATAAGGTATATATTGTACAAAAGTGGATGAAGAAAATAAAATGTAATAAAGAGCAAAGTAAACACAACATAGGGGAAAAAAGCAAATGAAAAACAACTATAAAATGACAGAAATAAAGCATAACAATTATTTTAATAAGTGAGCATGGGCTTAATTTCCTTAGAATAAAATGATTTTTGGTTTGGCTAACAGAGCCAAATTCAACTGTATGTTCCATGTAAGAAAAAATCTAACACAAACTTATTCAGAAAAACTAAAACTACAGTGATTGCCAAGGCAATTCAGTAGAGAAAGGGTAGTCTTTTCAAAAACTGATTCTGGGGCAAGTGAATCTCTACATGTAAAAAATTAAAACCCTTAACTCACACCATCCCCCCAAATTAACTCATAATGAATCACAGACCTAAATGTAAGAGCAAACACTATCAAACTTTCAAAACGAAACAAACATAAGAGGAAATCTTTGTGACCTTGAGTTAGGCAAATAATTCTTAGACACACACCAAAAGTATGATCCATAAATTAAAAAAAAGATAAATTGTACTGCATCAAAATAAAAGCTTTCATACTGAATTTCTGTTACTGTTGCTGTGTGCCACTGAGTCAATTCCAGCTCACAATGACCCTTTAGGACAGACCAGAACTGCCCCCAAAAGGTTTCCTATGCTGTAATCTTTACGGGAGAAGATCGCCAGGACTTTTCTCCCATGGAGCAGCTGGTGGGTTTGAACCATTGATCTTTCAGTTAGCAGTTGAATGCTTAACCACTGTGCCACCAAGGTTCCTTATGCTGCACTAAAGCAAAAACCACTGCCATCGAGTCCATTCCAACTCATAGTGACCCTACAGGATAGAGTAGAACTGGCCCATAGTGTTTCCAATGTTTCAAATCTTCAGGAAAGCAGACTGCCTTATCCTTCTCTCATGGAGCACCTGGTGGGATTTGAACCTCTGATCTTTTGGTTGGCAGCCAAATGCTTTAACCACTGTACTAGGCATCATTAATAAGATCAAGAAATGACGGCAACTGGTTAAGAGGAATGATGGAAATCTTCTAAAATTGAATTGCGATGATAGCTGCACAATTTTATATGTTTGCTCAAAAGCACTGAAACCACTTAAGACAGAGGACATATAAATTTTACCTCAAGAATGCTGTTTCAAAAAAAATGTATATGGAAGTAAAAGGAACAAGAATAGCCAAAGCAGTCCTGAAGAACAACATGAAGAAACTAGTTTTATCAGATACAAAAATGAAATAAAGCTACAGTAATTAAGGCAGTACGGTAGGAGAGACAAAGATAAATGGGCAGAATACAGATCCCAGAAACAGACCTTCACTTGATAAAAACCTAATATATACTGGAGGGAGTATTACAGATCAGTGGGGAAAGGTATTCTTTTCAATTGAATTATGCTGAAAGACTGGTATCCACATGGGAAAAAACTGAAAATTGGATTAACAACAAAAAAAAAATCAGCTAGTCTTAATTCTTTCTTTCTCCCTATAGCCACAGCCACATTGTTTTTTTCATGTAACCCAGCAACTCCTACATGGAAAGCACAAAAGGTGTAGAGTACTTCCCTACTCTGACTTAGGGTTGGCAATGTGACTTATTCGACCAACAGGTTTTAAGGTGATGTGTTGCAAACAAGGCCTTTCCCTTATGAGCTTCTGCCAATGCCATGAGAAGAACATGCCCCAGGTAGTCCACTGGTCTCAGGAGAGTAATGAGACAAACACGGGACAGAACTGTCCCAGCAGACCTGCCACATGAAGCAGAATCAACTCAGCGAAGGCCAGCCTAGATTAGCCGACACCCAGCCAATCTGCAGATGCATGAAAAATAAATGCTCATTGTTGCAAGCTACTGAGAACCTTGTGGTTGGCTTGTTGAACACCATTACTGTGGCCAACAGTTAACTGACAACATTTCCAATAGACTGAAATCAAAATGTAAAAAGCAAAACTTAAACTTTAAAAAAATATTAAATTACTTTATAGTCTTGTGATAGGGAAAAACTTCTTAAATTAGACACAAAACTGACCAAAAAGAAAAAGGTTGCCAAAATAGTACTTCTGTTCATTGAGACACCTCAAAAATGTGAAAAGACAATCCACAAAATGGGAGAAGATCTGCTACACATGTCTAGCAACAGAGTCTATCAGGAACATGTAAAATCAATTTATAAAGGCCAATCAGCCCAAAAGAAACATTAGCAGAAGACATTAACAGGCATTTCACCAAAGATGAAACTCAAAAGCCAGTTAATGTAAGGAAAGATGTGAAATTCATACAAATAAAGCTATGAGACATCATTTTTACATCCACTAAATTCGTAAAGAAATTTAACTTTTCACAGTACAAAGTAATGGCAAGTATGATCAATAAGAATTCTTATATACAGTTGGTGGGAGGATATTTTAGTAAAAGATTGGTATTATCTTAAATTTTAAGATGATACAAGTCTACACCTGGGTACATACCAGGGAGAACTCCCAAACATTTACACACCAGGAGACATGCACACAAATATTTAGAATAACAGGTTGTAATAAAAAAATTTAAAATAATTTAAATATTGATCAATTGTAGAATGACAATAAACTGTGATATATTCTATTCACAGAGAATTTTATATAGCAGTGAAAATGAATGAATGACAGTTGCATGTAGCTACATGAATGAGACAGAAACATAATGTTCAATGAAAACAAGTCACCAATTAATACTCACTATGGTACAGTTTAAATAAAACCCACACACAAGCAAAACTAAACATACTGCTTAGTAAATCATACACATCTGGTAAATCTATAAAGATAAAAAAAAAAAAAAGAAAGAAAGAGAGTAAAAATGTAAAACAATTGAAAACTCTTGCCCAGGAAGAAGGTCCATGGAGCCCTACATGAGGTTTTTCTTTCTTGGGCTGCATAGTTGGTTTACAGGTGTTAATCTCATTATACTTGTACCATAACTTACATATATCTATGTATATGTATCAAATATATCTTTTTTGGTAGAGGAAGAGGGAGAAAAGTACTTCTATTTGAACTATTACATACATAATACTGCATTGTCAGTAATAAACACTAGTCTATGGGTAGATATGTAGACAGATAGGTGAGAAGATCAGATGTGGGTAGGCGAACAGGAATATACCCATGACCATAGATAGGTTTGGCAGCTGATATTCCTACATAATTATTTGTTTGTGCCACAAAAATATCAATATACATTATAGAGCTAACAGGGGACAAGGTTGGGGTAGCTTCTTAGCCATAGCCAAGCACCTTGAGAGAGTCCACAGACCTGCAGGCTTGGGACCATGGTCTCAGGGGACATCAAGCTTAATTGGCACATTATAGTACAGAAAACATTGTTCTACATCCTACTTCAGGGAGTTAGCATGGGGGGGGGGGTTTTTAAAAGCTTACGAATGGCCATCTAAGATGCAGCTATTGGTCTCTCCTCAGCCAGAGCAAGGAAGAATGCAGAAAATCAAAGACACATGGAAACAGTTAGTCGAAAGGACTAATGAACCATGGGAACCTCGGCCTATAAGACTCTGAGACCAGAAGAACTAGATCGTGGGTGCCGGACTACCAAGGCCAACCACTTGGACAGGGATCAAAATTAGAGATCCTGGATAGAATGGGAAGAAAAATGTGGAACAAAATTCAAAATCATAAAAATAACAAGAGCTGGTCAGAAAGAGACTGATGAAACCCCTGAGACTATGGCCCCCAGTTACCCTTCGGGCCCGGAACTGGCTCTCAACCAAACAAAAGAAAGGCTTACAAGTTGAACACATACTCCAGGGACATGCACCCTTTAGAACAGTCGCCAGTGAAAAATCGGAAGGGCAGGATTTACATAGGGGAAAAGCTAGACAGAAAGGAATGTACAGGTAAGGAGGACACAGGGAACAGGTAACCACAGGCAGGAGATGGGAAGAGAGCTGTCCCACTGTGGGGATTGTAATCGGTGCTTTGAAACAAGATGTGCATGAACTGTTGAGCATAAAATCAATCTGCTCTGTAAATCTGCACCTAAAATCTGCACTACAATAAACTGATTTTACTTCTATTTGAGAAAATGGAAGAAGCTCCACTGAGGTTGCCAAAGCCAACTTATAGAGATGTTTCAGAGAAAAAACAAAATAAGCACGCTAAATTCCAACTTTACCTTTTATGTCTGTTTCATTGACATGATGACTTCTTTTCTGTATCCAAAACCTAATATTAAAAAACATGATTATTTTTATGTACTAATGTCTAATTCAGGTACATTGTAATACTCAAAATCTTCTAATGATTTCAGTAACATTCATGCTAATAATACTTACTATTACTGAAGGATGAATTTTATGTCATTTTCCACATCTTTCATATTAATAAAAGACCAAATATTTGATACAACTTCTAATTCCAGAATAATCTTTCCCATTTTAAACCTAAAAGTATCTAGAAATAAGCACCTATGACTTTCTAATATTTGCATATATTCATCTGCCACAAAATGGTAAGGTATGGTTTCTTAGAATCTTTTACTTTCACATATATTTCAATTACTTTTGAAAAGACTAGCTCCAGCTAAACATTATGAGAATACAGAGTAAACAATCATTATCCTTCCATAATCTCTTCTCACAGGCTGAAAGAACATTCAAAGAAAACTACTTGAATATTCTTGGATGGAACTTTAAAATGTTTATCAACCAATGATCCTTAACTTTCCTTGTAAGAGGATTTATAACAGGACAACTGTTTTGCCTATCTGCTTTGCTGTTCCTTTGTTTACCTTAGCTAATAAGGTTGCTAACTACACTAAGGATTTTAAGAACCTTCCAATTTGTATCAGCAATGAGTCAAATTACTTTCAGCTACAAGGAAAAATATACAAACAGGAAAAAATTTTCTGAACTGAAATAAAATTCTTAGATTATCAGTCCTGATATATCCTGTAACTAACCTATAAGGCATTCTTTTTAATAAATAATCTTTTCAAATTCTCACACTAGTTCAAACATATTTTATAATAAAGAAAAAAGATTATTAAAACTGTACTTACTCTATCTAGCAGTTCCTGTGTTTCAGCAGTCAGTGGAGCATGGGAAAACTTGCAGTGTTCTCCCTGATAACATTTTGCTCCCGTATGGTAAAACTTGCATGGATATTCATGTAACTCAAAAGTTAAGGAAGAGAACCCAGATATAGATCCATCAACCTACAGTCAGCTGATCTTTGACAAAGGCCCCAAATCCATTAAATGGGGAAGAGAATGTTTGTTTAATAAATGGTGCTCGCAAAACTGGAGATCCATTTGCAGA